TAAAAACCAAAACATAAAAAAATTTTACAACGACTTATTTGAATTTGGAACAATACCTATAATAAATAAACCTACAAGAATAACAAATCATTCATCTTCCTTAATAGATAACATTATAGCTAATGATTTTTTTAACACGCTGCTTAAAAAAGGTATTCTTAAAACTGATGTCTCTGATCACTTTCCTATTTTTTTTTTTTTTTTTTTTTTGTATAAATGCAAACTATAAGTTAAATCCCTGAGAAAAACAACTATAAAAAAAGCGTGTATACAGTAACAATAATTTAAAATCTTTTAAGGAACAAATTTTGAATCAAAACTGGAGCAATATTAACTTCAATGATGATATAAACCTGATTTATGATTTTTTTTTTTTAAACATTTAAATTCATTTATGACGCAAACTTTCCTATTCGTGAAATAATCCTTAACGCCAAGGACGTATCTTGTCCTTGGATAACTAAAGGACTTAAAAAATCATCGAAAGGGAAACAAAAACTGTATGTTAAGTATCTAAAATATAAATCAGTCAATCATAAAAATAACTACTTAATTTATAAAAATAATTTCGAAAAACTCAGCAAAAATGCAAAAAGGAATTACTACTCCGACTTGTTTGCAAAAGCATAAACATAATTCAAAGCGTATTTGGCAACTAATGAAAGAGATCACGGGAAAAAATAAAAAAAGTACAATAATACCTAATGCAATAAATATTAAAAAATTTGTAAAGCTTCCATTGCTCAAGGATCCTTTCCAGACTCACTAAAAGTAGCTAAAATTACTCCTATTTATAAATCAGGTGACCATTGTAATACTACAAATTATTGTCCTATTTCAGTTCTTCCGGTTTTCTCTATAAAACTAGAAATAATAATGTATAACAGAGTCTACAATTATTTTGTTGATACAAAACTTTTATATAATAATCAACTCGGCTTCCAGAGAAACTATTCTACTGAACACGCCATACTTCAACTAACACGCAGCATTTCTGATTCTTTAAAAAATTCTCATTATACCCTAGGAGTATTCATCGATTTGTCTAAAGCTTTTGATACTGTCGATCACAACATTCTATTAAAAAAATTAGAACTCTGTGAAATTAAAGATAAATCCCTAAGCTGGTTCAAAAGCTATCTTAGTAATTGTAAACAGTTTGTTAATATCCAAGACTCTTCTTTGCCTTTATTAATGAATGTAACATGTGGTGTCCCACAGGAATCCATAGTTTTGCCCCTATTGTTTTTAATATATATAAATGACCTCAACAAAGCCTCTAACTTAACCACTATAATTTTTGCTGATGACACAAACCTATTCCAATCTCATGAAAACATAAATACATTTTTTGATAATATGACACAAGAATTAAATAAAATCTCATATTGGTTTAAGAAAAACAAATTGTCCTTTAATATTGATAAAACAAAATGGACACTTTTTACCTAACATCAAGAAAAAAATGTTTACCAAATACAATGCCCAACCTCTTCATTGACAATACAATACTAAAAAGGGAAAAAGTTACAAAACTTCTCGGAGTTCTTGTAGACGAAAACTTATCCTGGAAACAACAAATCGATAATATCTCCTTGAAAGTTGCTAAAAGTATTGGAATTATATATAAAGTTTGACATATTTTAAAAAAACAACAATTAAAACAACTATATTATTCGTTTATCCACTGCCATTTAAATTATGCAAATATTGAATGGGTAAGCGCGCACAAAACTAAACTTAAATCTCTTTATCAGCATCAGAAACACGCAGCTCGCTTAATTAACTTTGAAAATCGTTTTTCAAACTCAAAACCACTTCTGAGAAAAATGAAAGCCTTAAATGTATACAACTAAATGTTTATAATATTTTATGTTTAAATGTAAAAATCATTTATCTCCTGATGTATTTATAAACCTTTATAATGTAAAACCCATAAACAAATACAATCTTCGCAATGGAAAAAATCTACAACAACCTTTCTGCCAAACTAAATTTGAACAACTAAATATTTCTTATCGCGGTCCTTATTTATGGAATAAAATAGTTTTGCCAAATTTTGATTTGTAATTGAAACGGACTTTAACTTTCAAACGAAAATTAAAAGAAGTTATCTCTTCAGCAGAAAATATTTTTTCTTGTTTTTAGTTTTTTTGCTTCACATATTTTATATAATTTATTCAGTATATTTATATTTTAAATGCACAGTTATATATAGTTTATGTTGATTTTTCATGCTTAATTTGATTTTATTGTTATTATTATTATATTTGATATTGTAAAGGGTTTCATGATAAGATCGTATGATCTTCTGGAAGTCCTGCCGATTATATTTGTAATAAAGCTATTTTGTAATTTGAATTTCTTTTATTGAAGGCAAATAAATTATAAAAAAAAAAAAAATTTTAATTAAAATCTAAACTTTTGAAAGTTTTAATGCGCTTGCGTATATATCTTGCCACTTTTAAACAACCGTGAACAAGGCACGTAAAAGTTTTCGCTAACCCCCCCCCCCCCTAAAACCGAGGACAATGAGTTGAATTATTTATTTTTTTATAAATATAAACTAGTTATGTATTCATCGACAGATCTCAAATGTTATGTTTAAATTATTAAGTGTTCAGTTTTTATGACCATGTAAAGAATAACCCCCTCAATTTGAGGGGGCCACAAACTTTACATAAATAGTCAAATAAAATCCCGAGATGAATAAATAGATAGAATAATATTATATTAATAATTAAATAATAAATATTATTAATAATAAAGAATGTCAAAATGTTAGTATTAATAATATAATAATATAATATATATTTCGCCATAAAGAAAATATTTACAAAATTAGACTTTAAAAACTGTATATAGACGGCTGGGGCAAGAAGAAGACAAATTCAGTCTTATCGCCAAGCTCCTTCAAACAAGAATATAAGTAACAAACAAAACAAAAAAACAAAAAAGTCCGTTATCACAATATAATATATGCGTAAGGTACATATATAAATACAAATATCTAAATATTTTTCATTAAAATTTAATATTTTTTTTTAGTTTTTTTTTTTTTATTAGGATTTCAAATTTTAATAGTAAATAAAGATGAGATAAAACATGATAATTTAAGAAGGTAAAGATTCAAATTAAAATCAAAAATTAATATGTTAAAAATAAATTAAATATCAAGTAAAAAACAAGTGATTACTCCTATTTAAAAGTTTCAGAAGAAGTCAAGTTCACTGTCAATTATCAAAAGTTTACTTTTTATTTTTTTTTTAAATTGATCAAGCGAAGAAATTTTTTTAAACTCATTATCCAATAGGGTGTTCCATAATTTAGGTCCTCTGGTTGCTATCGAGAACCTAGTCGCAGAATAATATTTTTTTGGTTGAATATAATTGTTGTTTGAAAATCTCGTTGGGTATAAATGATTTATTTTTTCGAAAAATGAATTAAATAAAATGGGTGCCATTTTATTATCTACTTTGAACATAAATATAAAAATATGATATAGGTTAAGTTGAAATACGTTATTAAAATAAGTATTTTGAATTTATTAAAATAAGATAAAATTAAGTATTTTAAATTTATTAAAAAGTAATTTAGCGTGCGAAAAGCGATTCACATTTCCAATAATTCTTAGAGCGTGTTTTTGTTTAATTAGAAGCCCTTTATTTTTAGATACATTAGTGCTGCACCAAGCAACGTTAGCGTAATTTAGATAGCAATGAATAAAAGAAAAGTAAATAAGTTTCAAACAAGTTTGGTTCAACAACTGTTTTGCTTTGTATAAAAGGCCTATATTTTTTGAGATTTTATTTTGGATTATTCGTATGTGCTCCTTCCATGTTACGTTTTCATCTAAAACAACGCCTAGAAACAACAAAGAACTCTCTCTTTTGACATAAGAGTTATTAATAAAAAGCTTAGGAACTTGTAAGGGTATGTTGTCTTTATCATGAAGACGATGGAAGAAAGTATATTTTGTTTTTTTAATATTTATGGACAATTTATTTGATATAAACCATTGATATAAACCATAAAAATTAATATCTCTATTTGAATAAAATACGTTAGTATCGTCGGCAAATAAAATTGAATTTAAGATATTGGAAAATTTACTCAAGTCATTTATATAAATGATAAATAAAAGCGGTCCTAGAAATAAAAGAATGAAAAATATTTAAAAAAGCATATTGAAAACCAGAGGAAATCGAAATATTTGGATAAATAAAGATTTTCAAAATATTAAAATTTTCAAAATCAAAACCGAACAATAAATGCTTTATTTAAAAGTCAAAGATTAAATTGAAAGGTTTTAGATCAGGAGGTAATTTTTTCTACGAGCTAATAGATTAATGTTTAATGGATTTATTTTTTTGATTTCATCAAACTAATTTAAATATATTTTTTTATTTTACCCCCTTGTACCCTTTGCTTGTTTAAATTTATAAAAATGATTGTGAGTTTATGTAAAAAATTATTTTACCACAAAAAAAAAAAAAAAAAAAACTAAATGTGTTGTATTATTTAGAGATCAATTGAAAGTTTCTAATAACCGGTAAAATAATTTTTTTCAAAACTTTACGCGTTTTATTTTTTAAATTAACGTTACACGCAAACGTTGTTCGGTTCGCTTATTTATAGGTTTTTTAAGTTAAATTTAAAGAAAAAAAACTTAGTTCTCAAATAACGCATTTTATCTCTATTTTATAAGATTTTGTTTTTAATAGACTAAAAGACCCTAATGTTGTTTATTTTAAGTTATATAAATATTGTTATTTTGAAAATATAAATAAATGAAATTATTTAAAAAAACATTTTCTTATAATGATTTATTACTGATTTTAATTTAATATAACAAAAAAAAAAAAAATTTAGTATAACAACAAAAAAAAAATAATAATAAAATAAAATTAAAAAAATAAATTGATGTTATTTCGACTGCGAATTTATTTCTATTTTTAAAATATATTTTGCGAAACAATTAAAAGTTAGACATCAAAAAA